TGACTAGTATGGAGCTCTCTTTAGTGTCTTTCTTTCCAATGATGCACTCTAGGTGTGGTTAACTAAAGGCCTTTTTCTCTGTCCTAAGATCCAACCACCTCCATTAATTTGGGAAGGGGAGAGAGCAGTATAATTGGCTCAGCAGTAGTTCTCTGGAAATGAACCACACAGTATTACTGATAACACAAAGACAATCCAGATCCTGGCAAACAGTAAAAACCAATTAATCCCAACAACTATGCTACCCTGTCAGTAGCAATGAAATCAGCAATAATAATAATAGAATCAAGAACAAACTGGATCACTGAACCACCCCTAAAAGTAAAAAAGAGATCTGCAATGATAATTTAGACACAAAGGCAAAGCAAATATTGACATACAGAAAATATCTACTAAATGTAGCAACTATGCCACCATTTATAATAGAATTCAACAATAATAGCAGAGTCAACTAAGTACCTAAAGATTAACACGGTTTAATAGTAATACTAATAAAAACGGAGCAGGTGGGGGAAAAGGAAAACAAAAAAGTAAAATTTGAAAAATAAAAGGAGATGAGAGAAAAGTGAGAGAATCCTATTAAGGAATAAACAAAGATAGATAAAAGTAACAAAAGAAACAAGAAAAAAAGATGAAGAGAAAGAAAAACAAGCCCAAACCCCCAAAAAGCTAGAAGAGAGATGAGTCCAAAAAATTCTTTGGTGTTTTTCCAAGATCTGCAGTATTAGAATCTACCAGATATGGATGAGGGAATAGTGAGTCACTAGTTTCCAGATTCAGGTTTTTACATGTGAATGCTGAGTCCTGCCCCACTTTTCCTGCTGGGTGTGGCTGATCAGTGGTGTCTGCCCTGCACTGTGTTCACCCAGCTGTGTCCAGTCTCCGTATCCTGTGTGCCCCAAGTCACTGCTTTATCTGCCTAGCTCTATAGCCTGTAGATGTGTGAGGTGCATCCCTCCCCAACCCCTGCCTGCTCCAGAGGCCTCACTGTCTGTATACCTCAGACTGTGTCAACTATGCAGGTTGAGGCATACCCCTGTTCATGTTGGCAGATGGGGAAAGCAAACAGACCATTTAATTTTGTGCTGGATGTAGATAGCAGGTTAGAGGACATCAAGCAGTCTAATTAGTGTCAGCACTTTCAGACCCAGCCCCTTCCAAAACCTACATACAACCAGCCTGGCTTCTCAAATTGAACATGGGCAGGGCTTAAACTTCTCAGGGGGCATATATCTAGCCTGCACATTCTCCATGACTATCTTTTGTGGCCTCCCCCTAGAAACCCTGAAGCATAGTTGGTCTATATTTTGTAGCTTTTTTTTTAAGATAAGGTTTCACTATGCAGTTCAAATTGGCCCCGAATTTGTGGCAATCTTTACCTGAGCCTCCTGAGTGCAGGAATTACAGGTGTGTGACACCACACCTAGCTTCTGCGGCTCAGTCTCTAACCCCTTCCCAATATGTCTTCTGATTAAATGCTCAAATATGGCAGGATTTTTCAACTCCAGCCTGCCATGAAAAAAGGGTTAACTTTCAGAGTAAAATCTCACACTATTTTTGCAGTTTACAATAACCATGGGAATTTCAGGCTGCTTTATTCTTCTCCCTGTGTTGTGTTCAGTTTCCACAGTTTTTCTGTGGTTTCTAATTTTCCTGTACTTTTTTCTTCACTAATTTGTTGTTTCCAGATGTGAAGATTCCAGGTCTGAGGCTCCATTTTGCTATAGGGTCTTTACACTGCCATTTTTAATATCCAGTAGCATCTTAACCCAACAAGTTCTAGGATTAAAGCTTTCCAGAGTTGGTCCTTTCTGATAACATGAAACTTTTGAGGAAAGAGGTATTCTGAATAATAGTACTTCCATCAGTAGAGCTGCCCACAGTTATGCCCAGTTTGTAGGTCAAATAAGTTTAAGAATGGTTTCTGTATGTCAGGACCTTTTTGAAACCTTTTTTTTTTTTTCTTTGGTACTGGGGATCGAACTCAGGACCTTGCCTTTTTGAAACTTTTAAGGTGTGCACTTAAAAGAAGGCTAACAGTGATTTATGTCTTGAAAAATATCCCATTAGGAAGTCCTGGACCCTGTCTCCAGGATGGTAGGTAGCTCTGAGCCTTGCGCAAGAAAGAGCTCTGAAGATCCTGCTTCTTCCTGGGTACCCTGGCCAGACAACTTGGGTGGGGCTACTCCATCTACTCTTAAGAGAATGAAGTGGTTGCTGGGGATCTTCCCCAAAGAATTAAAAGAATCATACCACAGTGATATATGTGCACCCATGTTCATAGCAGCACAGTTTGTAATAGCTAAAACTTGGAAACAGCCCAAATGCCCATCAACTGGAGACTGGATCAAGAAAATGTGGTTTTTTTATAAAATGGAGTACTACTCAGCCATTAAAAATGAGAAATTAGAGACATAGCTAAATGGATGCACATTGAGGCGATACTCTTAAGTGAAATAAATAGGACACACGTGTAAATACCAAATAGTTTCTCTGGTGTGAGAAACTGAAAGTATAAATAAGGACTAAATGTATAATAGGTAATGTGAAACAGGAAGAAAAGGGGCAAAGGGGAAGGAAGTGGGAGGGCTAGGGCAAAGGATAGAAGGGAATGGGATTAATATGAGAAAATAGAAAAATAGGAACAAAATCTTTGTAAATAGGAATGGAGGGGTTGAAGGGAGGGCTGGGCAAGGGTGAAAAATAAGAACCAAGAGAGACTATGTAAAGGTGCAAATTTCCAATGATGAATGTCACTATATTGTATACCTAAAATGTACCAATGATTAGAATGACTAATCGATAATGCAAAATAGGAAGAAAAGGTCCAAAGGGGTAGGGGTAGTGGGAGGGGCAGGGGAAAGGAAAGAAGGGAAAGGAAAAATGATGAGAAATGGAAAAAATGGAAATAAAGTCTTTGTAAATAGGGAAGGGTGGAGGGCATGAAGGGAGGGCTAGGAATGGGGAAAAAATAAGAACCAAGATGCATTATGTAAAGGTACAATTCCCAATGAGAAATGTAATTGTCTTGTATACCTACAATGTACCAATAAAAGAATTTAATACAAAAAAAAAAAAAAGAATGAAGTGGTCAAAGATGCCATAGAAATGCTTTCCAGTTAATTCCCATCCCTTCCCATGGAACCTTCTACTAAAGCTACTGTTTGTCTGATTTATAAAGAATATTCTACCCACACAACTGTATATCAGAAAGATCCAGAACAAGAAACCCAAATGATGAAGATAAACTAAGACTTGCAGGCCTGGGATTTAGCTCAGTGGTGCCGCCACCTGCCTTGAAAATGCAAGGGCAAGGTCCTGAGTTTGATCCCTGGTGCCAAAAAAAAAACCAAACTAAGACTTGGTGGAATGCAAGGCCGGTATGATTTCAGAGTTGGGTCAGGCTAGGGCACTTGGTGACTGAAGCAGGGTGATCCTCATCTATTTTGACCTGAGAATTATTTATTAATAAGTTTATTTGAAATTTCATTTAGAGGGCTAAAAAAATGGAAAAATACAACAAAACAAGTGAATACTACATCTAATTTTATTAGATAAAATTAATACTAATTTTTGTTTTGCCACCCCCTAAAACTTAATAGGAAGTTCAGAGTTTAAGCTAGGGTGAGAGGATAGACATACAGACTAGTGGGTGCAATATGAAACCCCTCCATGATTAAAGTAATGCATTTTAAAAGCACTGTGAAAAACTGGGTAACCCAAACCTTTGAGTGGGCATGGGCATCCCCACAGTACACCACCAGAAACAAGGACTGGTAACGGTTAAGCCTCGGAGTGGATCTACAGTCCCCAGTAAGTCTATACTGCTTTCTGTTCTGACCTGATGTTCCTTCTCATCTTAGGTGACAGATCCCTTGAGACTTCTAGGACCAAATTTGCCATCCTCCCCCACTCCCCTAGGTAGAAAGGTCCTGCCCCTCCAGCCTTCTCCCACTACATTCAGACAGAGTAGGGCTACGCCTGGTCTAACATCTTCAGGTATGGTAATTTTATTTTTGGTAAAAGACCAAGTATAAATCAGCCTAGGCTTACAAACCTAAATATGTATTGAGCTCCTGTAGGATTTCATAAATACTCTTGTAGCCCTGATTTATCGGACACAACAAAGAAAGGCAGGATTGGATTCAACAGGAAAAGAATCCCAAAGTGTCACGCCATGAGAGTAATGGTCCCATCCACTACAGAGTAAAACCACTAAGGGAGAGAGACGAGAGCTTTTTATTTGGGGATAGGATGGGGTGTCTACAAGACAAAGTGGGTCTAGAATCACAGCAACCTTCACTTCCAGCCTAAGGACTTTACCAGGAATCAGGCAATAAGTGATTAAAGAAAAAAAGCCCTGGGGTTTTAGATCAGTTTGAGTCCTGCCTTCATCACTTTGCCAAATGGCTTCATCTTACTGAACATGCTTTCCTCATCTGAAGAAACATAATTATCCAAGTTCACAACGTGGTTTGCTACTTTTGTGAAGAAATATATGTGAAATGTATCAGATGGTTTTAAACTATTGATCATATATATAAAACAAAACTTTCACAGCCATTGCTACTTCAGGAATCACTTGATCTTTCCTATTTTTTTTTAATGATGGCTGTAATGCACTACATTGTTTTAACAATTCCTGATGGGTGGCTAGTTTTATAGGAACAGCTGGAATTTGGCATATTGGCACACCCCTGAACAAGAGGCTGAAGCAGGATTAGAAATTCGAGGTCAGCAGGGCTACACAGCTAGCTCCTAGCCAGCCCCGGTAAATGAGTTTCTAACCCCTCCCGCGCCCCTAGAAAAGCCCACAACTGTTAGAAATCGTATGATTGTCAGTTATTATGATTACTGTTACTGTGATTCTGAGGGACAGTCGAACGGTTCTCCCTCAAGGCCAGAACCACAGAACAGAGCAAGCCCTGGAGCACCCCACGCCAGCCCCCTGGCGATCAGGAGCGGCCGGCCGCCCTATCACTCACATCAAGGCTCGGAAGTCCCGCCTCTCTGGGACTGAGCGAGCGAGGCGGGAGTTAAGAGGGTCAGGCGGTGACGTTAACTTTCCGCTTTAGGTTACCTTCCGCGGGCGCGGTAGCGGTTAGCAATTTGGGGATCATTTAGCAGGCTCCTGGGTCTGGGGACCTTGGAGATGCCATGAGGTCAGTTAGCTACGTGCAGCGCGCTATTATGGAGTTCGGTGGGAGCCTCTTCCCGCATGCAATCTGCCTCGGGGACGTGGATAACGACTTGGTGAGTACATGCGCAATGGAGGACGGTGCGCCTGCGCCCGCGAGGGGCACGCTGCATTTTGCGCGTGCGTAGAGGCTGCGGCTGATGTTGCGCTCACTGGAGAAAGATTGTGTCTGTTGCTTCCGTGACGGATATTGCCCTGGGTCTCAGTTGGCTTTGTGCCCTGAGAGTATTTTTTTAGAAGGATAGACGATTGATCCCTCTGCCTCATTCCTTAGTTTGTGCCGTAGAAGCCTGGTACACCCTGGTAGGCAAGTGTCTTGGGTCGCTGCTTCTGATTAGCCTCGCCCAGTGGCTTCACCTTTCAAATCACCTTACCTTTCAAGGCCACAAAATGTGTTTCGCCTCTAAACTAAAAAAAGCCTGTTGCTCTGCACCTGGGAAGTTTTCTCTGGGCCCCTCCTACCTGAATGACTCATGAGCCTGCACTTCCGCACCGTCTGCAGCACCTGCCCAGTATAAATAAATTAATGCGGAATAAGCAGGTGGAACAACGCTTGGCGCGCAGTTAGCGCTCAAGGACTATCAGCACTGCTGTCTTAGCCTTTGGCCCTCCTCCCCAGCCCTCTGCACCCGGGATACAATCACCCTGAGACAGGAAGTGCTATACTTAAAGAAAATAAATATTAGGTCTTGACTGAGTATGTACAGTTTTTTCCTTGTGATTATTCCTTAAAAATACAATCTAACAACCACGAGTATGCATCACTTAAGGGTATAAGGAATGTGTAGTTAGGTGGGTTTTGTTTTTTGTTTTTGTTTTTTTTGTACCAGGGATCGAACTTGGGACCTTGCGTTTGCTAGGCAGGCGGCGGAACCACTGAGCTAAATCCCCGGTCCTAGGTGGTTTTGTTTTTATACTAACAAAACTACTTTAAAAATCCAAGGCTATATAGTGTATACCTTCATATATATTGTTCGCCATTGACCAAATTATGGGCAGTACATGACTATTTACAGATAACTCCAACAATGATATAAAGTTTATGGGAAGATGTGCAGAGATCATGTGTAAAACCTACCATGCCATTTTGTATAAGTTACTTGAGCATTGGTGGATTTTGGAATTTATGGGGGTCCTGGAACCAATCTCCCACAGTCACAGAGCACCATCTGCAAATTATACTGTCATTTTTTTTAACTGAAGATTGAATGTGGGGTCTCTATACTGAGCTACATCTGCATCCCCTTTATTTTTATTTTTGAGACAAGGTCTCACAAAATTACCCAGGCTGGGCTTGAACTTGAAATCTTCCTGCCTCGGCTGCCCAGGATGCTGGCATTACAGGTTTGCACCAACATACCCAGCTCGGGAATCCTGCCCCTGCCCCAGGTACCAGGGATTGAACTCAGACACTTACACTTGCCAGGCAGGCGTGGCACCACTGAGCTATATCCCCGGCACCCGGGATTTTTTAAACCTATTTTTGTTTGTTTGTTTTGTTTTTGGTACTGGGGATTGAACTCAGCACCTTGCACTTGCAAGGCAGACGAGGTGCCACTGAGCTAAATCCCCAACCCTTTTTTTTTGGTACTGAGTATCGTCAGGTCCTTGTGCTTGCGCAGCAGGCGACAAAATCCCCGACCCTTTTAAACCTATTTTTTCACTGTTAGAGTTCCAACACTTAACAAAAGTCCCTGGGCACATAATTGTCACTCGATAAACTTTTTTTTTTTTGGTACTGGGGATTGAACTCCGGACGTTGCACTTTTGAGGCTGGCACTGGAACCACTGAACTCAATTCCCGGCCCAACATTTTTTATTAAATATTATTTTAAAAAGCAAATGTGAAAAAAACATTTTAGGCTAGGATGTGGCTAGTGGTAGGTCATTTGGCTGCTGTATGACCCTGGGTTTGATCTCCAGTACCACAAAAAAGGAAGAAAGAAAAAGGAAAGAAGGGGGAAGGGAAGGGAAAGAAAGAAGGAAGGAATGGAGGGAGGGAGGGAGGAAGGGGAAAAGGAAGAAGTAAAACCAAGCATAGTGGTGTACACCTATAATCCCAGCACTCTGGGATGCAGAGGCAGCAGGACTCCCAGTTGGAACCCAGCCTGAGCAATTTAGTAATTTGGGGCTGAGAATGTAACTCAGTGAAAAGGCCCTGGGTTCAATTCCGAAGACCACAAAAAAAGAAAAAGTGATTTTGTGTTTCAAAGCAACTGGAAGTGCAGGGCATGGTGGTGTACATCTGTAATCCCTGTACTTGGGAGGCTGAGGCAGGATTCATGTGAGCTCGAGGCCAACCTGAACTGCAGTGTGAGACCCTGTCTCAAAAAGCCAGGAAAAAAAAAACTGGAAGAGCTTTGCCTGTTACTAGTAAGTATAACTCAAAGTCAGATAGCTGAGAGAGCTGTTGTGTGACAAGGCATAGTGTACTTGGCCCACTTGACTACTGATAGAAACTGCGCTGGGGGCTAAGTGTGTAGCCCAGTGGTAGAGTGCACTGGGTTCAATCCCCAGGACTACTAAAGAGAAGAGAAACTCTGTTAGTAGTTCCCAAAACAAGCACTTGGAGATTTGGGGGCAAGAAAAAGACTGATTTTGTCCTAAAGAACCCTTATCTTTTTTTTTTGGTACTGGGGATCAAACTCGTGTCCTTGCACTTTCAAGCCAGGCGGTGTTGGAACCACTGAGCTAAATCCCAGGCGCTAGAACCCTTATCTTATAGTTGTTTGAAATGAATTATTTCCTGTAAGACTGAGGGACTCTAGGGCTGCACTAGGCACTAGGCACAGCAAGCCCTTTGAAGGCCCAAGCAGAACTCAGAAAGAGCTCCCCTTATTTCTCCTGTAGCATTGCTGTTGAGTGATGTACCTTCCAGAGGTCAGAGCCAAGCTCAACTACAGGGAAGCCAATCTGGTGGGAAGATTTCTAGCTGCTAGAAAGCAGACGGCTGCCCTAGAAATGACCTCCTCTAAGATTTTGCCACACTCTGCCTGACTGAGTCACATCTGTTTGCTCACTGCATCTGATTCACATGGTGGATCCAACAGATAGATTCCAGGCTCTTGTGTGTGCTGAGCAAAGAATTGCAAGTGTACATCCACTTGTAAAAGAAAAAGCAGCTATATTATTTAAGATAATGGGAAGATGTGCCCAGAGCAGGTCTGTGCCAACAGAGAAAAAAAAGGTGGCATGAACCGAGAAGTGGTATCGGGACAACAGGAAAATAAAAAGTACACAGACAAATCAGGCGTTTGGATTTTAAAAGATGTGCACCTCAGCCCAAGTGCCTCTCACTGGGTCTCGATAGGATTGACAGGAATCATTGAAAGGGTGCTGAAGTATCTCTGGCTTTCAACATACAGGCCTGTCCCAGAATCTGCTCTGACTATGCATTCCATATGTATGAACCTTTAATGAGGTTTAAGTGAGGGAAGGTGACTAAAGTTCGGGCCAGGAGCTCTAAAATGCATGTGCTCTAGCCCCAGAGCTTTAGAGATTTCCTGGATCTTTGTTATTTTACTTTTTGCTTCTCTCAGAACAGTGGAAGGAGGGTTGGCCCTGGGGCATTGCCCAAATTCAAGTGGGTAGAGGGGGAGTGGTCTCCCAGCCCCAATTGTGCTCCCTGTGGCACATTTACCACATTTATTGTGGCAGAGTGGGATGTATGCACTGCTCCTCATGTGGAACACACAACTGCTGGGATTGTAAGCTCTCAGCTTCACCAATGAACTAAAGAAGGAGAATTTAAAAGAAGATAGTTTATTTGGAAAAAGATGGAAAAGAAAGAAGATAGCTACTCTGGCAAGTAGGAGGTATCAGAAGTGAATGCCCTTGAGCTCTTTTTATTTAGGACTAGTGATTTTTCCCATCCCCTATGTGGACACGTAGAAGTTCTCACCATCTGATTAGCTCTCTTGGCTGTCTTTGTACCTGACCTGGGCACATTTGCCTGCATTCTTTCTGGCCATTTGATTTCTTCCTGTCCCTTTGTGATAGATAATGGTAAGAAGGTAGCTTAGACTTAATGGTTAAGTAAAGGGGACATGTGTATATCTGGTGCAGTAATATAGTGATGTTACAGTGCGAACATGCATACATATGCGTATGTGTGTGCCTGCTTATCTTACATACTAAATAAGAGTACTTAGGTGGCTGCCCCTTATCTCCTTTGCATTTATCAGATGGGTGAGGGGGACTGATTTTGATGATCTACACACACACACACACACACACACACACACACATACACAGACCCCAGGGATCGAACTCAGGACCTTGCATTTGCCAGGCAGGCATGGCACCACTGAGCTACATCCCTAGCCCTGGTAATCTTTCATGTTTCTGGCTTCCTTGTGTTTTGTTGACTCTTGATAATTGTGTCACCTGGCACCTCTCGGTCTAGTTTCTTTCTCCTGTGTCTTTCTAATGGCTCTAACTGTAGAGTCTACCTGTACAGGGCAGAACCTGCTTTCAGTAAGTTTCACTGTTAATTTTTTTTTTTTTTGATGCCGGGGATCGAACTCAGGCCCTTTCACTTGCGAGGCACGTGTATGCTGCTGAGTTAAATTCCCAGCCCTCTCTGTTAATTTTTAATAAAGCGTGTCTTTTCCCTGCCTAGCTGCCACCTTTCCTTGCACTCTGTTTTGTGATTTTCTTCCTGCATCTCTGCTCTGTAAATCTGCGAGGTTGTTCCCACCAGGAAGTCTGTGCATTTATCTTTGTACCTCCAACTGGTTGTCCAGATTTATCTAAAAACTCCAGGACTGGCTGAGCGTTCTCTTTCATTCCAATTTTTCCTTGTCTGATTTTTCTTTTTTTAAATCTGGGAGCTGGGCATGCTTGCCTGCAATCCCATCTACTAGGGAGGCTGAGGAAGAAAGATCAAAAGTTAGGGCCCATAGTGGCACAGTTTGTAATTGCTAAAGCTTGGGAACAGCCCAAGCACCCATCAACTGGAAACTGGATAGAGAAGATGTAGTTTTTTTATAAAATGGCGTACTACTCAGCCATAAAGAACCAGAAACTAGAGTCATTTATAGCTAAATGGATGCAT